TGTGTGTGTGTGGGAGCGTCGAACAGACGCCCAGCCCTCGTCAGACCAGCCGGGCTCCAGGCCCAGACGTGGAGGTCAGAGTCATTCACTAATCATATTAACATTCCTCCATAATGACCTAACGCGTAACTCTCTCCCATTTTCACTCTTAGCTCCTCCGTTAGCCCCGCCCACGGTTTCCATCTCAGCCCCTTGTTGTATTTTTCCCCCCCGATCTTCTCTCCATCACCTCCTCCTCCTCTGAACCGTTCTGTCCATTTATGACCTCATGACTAATCAGCTGACCTAACTCTGAGTTCTTGAGTTCTGGCCATTTCTCACCAACGCACAAAAAAACTGAACGTTTTAGGTTAAGGACGGTGACCTTATACGGGCCGGGATTTGAACCCTATCAACACCGGTTGTTGACCTCGTCAACTGTCTCGCCTTCTTGTCATAAAACCCAGTGTTCACTCCTAACTGACCACTAGTGTGAACCCTGTAACAGTCTGGGTTCTAACCCCGCCCTCCAGTACAAACCCCGGCCCAGGGACCAGTTCTTATTAGACTCTGAAAAATGTAAAGTAATATCCAGAAAGAAAAAGAAAAGGCGATTTAAACCATACAGGATTAGGAGACCTGGGTTCTGTTTGTGTGTGTGTGTGTGTGTGTGTGTGTGGACTGGGTGACGTGCCACAGTACTTTCCAGTGGATTTATGGTCACCCGGCTGGCAGTACTAATGGAAACCGGTGAAATGTGGTCTTTCCCTGTGCAGTCAGCAGACTGCCGAGGAGAGAGAGAAAACTTTTTCATCTAGTTCTGGGTTTTTTTTCTTCTTCCTTGATCTGTTTTCCCTTGTGTTTTTGTTTTTGTTTTTTTTGTGAACTCGTTCTGATACAGACATCTGTGAATCGCTGAGTCATCGTTCACACGTGGAAACGTCCCGACTGAAAACACACCACGGTGTCGGTCCGACAGAAAAACGACCAGAGTGTCTCATTACTGAGGGGACAGAGACAGGAGAGGACGACGCTGACGGACAGACGTAGGAAAACAGACCGGGGGGAGAGGGGAGGGGGGGATGAGGGGGGGGGTTATATGATGCACAAACAAGTCTCTTAACCCTGTGTGATATAATGAAGAGCCCACACTCAGCTTCAAGGTTCACTGCTGCACCTCTTCAAACAGAGGGAGTGGGGGTTCAATCCCCGGCCCGTCCACCATCGAGCCGTCCAAGGCAGCGCTCCTTTTCTCTGTGCAACAATGGTGGAAAAACCAAATGAACAGTTTGGAGGTCGCGGTAGAATGGCCGTGCCTGTGGCTCCGCGGTGAGAGGAAGGGCACAGGACTCGACGAGAGCAGATGAAACGGTCATAATGAAAAATAAAAATTCTCCACACGACAGATTTTTTGTACTGACGTCCCTGAGTAAACAACCCCCCCCACCCCCACCTACACCACCACCACCGCTGTAACTGCTTTTATGGACGACAGGAAAAACTAGAACCCTGGAGGATGACCTTTGACACCAGGTCACAAACGATCAGATTTTAAATAAATAAATAACATTTCATAACATTTTTGGTTGATATTTTCATTCAAGTTTGTTTCCATTTTTCCTGCTTCGTGGTTTCAACATCACGTCCATTTAAAAACCTTTGTATCATTTTATGTCTTTTATATGTATTATGGGATATGTCGTGTTATTTACTCTAAGAATATTCTTCTATTTTTTTTAATCATCAGGCAGCATGGAAGACATATTTAAAATTCCTCCTTGTATTTAACTATTGATACGATGATAAAAGCTGAAGCTCAGACGCCTGAGAATCTGAAAATGTTTTAGTGACTAAAATCAGACCAGGTTCAAATGACGACATCTGTCTTAGAAGTTTCACTAATCCTGACTGGAGTTTTAATATTCATACAGACTTTAATGATGCAGGTACTCTGTGCCGTCGGCCCGTTACGTCTGACCCTCGTCTGTGGTGGAAAAGGCTTTGAAACTGAGTCCAGAACATTTAAAAGAAAATGGTGAAAATTTAGTTCAGATCTGAACAGAGTTTCTCAGACGGAGGTCAAACGCCTCCAGCGAGTCCAGCTGTCGACATCTGAAGGATGTAAAAATGGGCCGGAGCGATGACATCATTACAATATTTTACTTTTTAATACGCAACACAAGTCGGACTTTTATAAAATGTACAAACTGATTTTTAAATCTGTTTTACTCCTGTCATAAAATCACACTTTAAAATAACTTTTTATTTTTCCCATGTCCTTTTCTCACCTTTGGTTTTAACCAAACTGTGAATCGAATCAAATGTAAACAAAATCACACGACAGCCAATCAGCTTGAAGCCGAGCGATGACACTGATCACTGAGGAGGTTTTTCATGACAAGTCACAAGTTTAAGTTTCATGTATTTGTTGAGGCTCAACCTCCGGTCAGCGGCCCGGCATGTGTCAGTCTGAGATGAGGACGGTCTAGGATTGACTGGACTGAAGGTTAGAAATAAACACGTTCCACACCAGACACCGTCCAGATGGACAGTAACGACTGAAATACAGCTAGCTAAAATGTTGACTTGTGTCCGTTAGCTCATGGACAAAGAAATCACCAACATAAAAAAATATCCCAAAACCTAAAACGTCTCTCTGTGTCCGTCAGCTAATGTTTCAAAGTTCAGGTTCGTGAGGACGCGGCGGCGAGTTTTAATAACCAGCCGCTAACAATCGGCGTGGACAATGGATTTGTCTTTGTCCTTATTTGGAATAATTAAATCAACACTCATTATGAAACACGGTGTATTTTGCTAATGAAGCTGATACGGAGGTGAGGGAGGGATAACGATCCTAAATCTCTTAATCACAATGCTGTCCTGACACCGTCACAACTACAGCGGCAACAATTAGCCGGGCGCCGCGGACGACTGGCACGCCTCCAGACTAATGAATGTTGTTTTCTGCGGCGGCCGGGGAACGGCACAGTCTGTTCACCTTGATCCAAATCTGACTAATAAGACCTGTTTGTCAGAGCGCTGCTGATCTGGAACAACGTCTGAAATTATACCACAGTCAAAGAGACCGCCGCCGCCGCCGCCGTCACCGCCGCCGCCGCCCAGGTGGGAGGGGCTGAGGTCAGCGTGATGGAGCGTCTGACGATCAGCAGTCGTTTCATTAACGTGATGTAAATGAACAAACTTTAGGACCAAAAAGACGGAGGAAAATATGATATTATATCATTGTACGGTGGAGGCTGTTGATTGTAATTAATTCCAATAACGAGGCCTGAGTCACACCGCCCACCGCCACTCTGTGTGTGTGTGTGTGTGTGTGTGTGTGTACGTGGCACCCTGTTGATTTCCTACCACTGTCCTTCGGGAGAGAATTTGTTGTTGCTGTGAATACCCACGTACACACACACACACACACACACACACACACCGGGGAGCGCACACACACGTGGAACCAAACTTGTAGCTTTTGATGCTTGATAATTGTTTTTAGGCAAATATAATTTCGCAAACGGAGACAGCGAAGCCACAACCATGAATCAGTGAGATGGTAATGACGACGCAGACAAACACACTAATTCACTGCC